AGGAGCGCTCGTCCGAATCTTCCTGCACCGTGGGGTCACTCGGTCTAGGCTTTTCCCTAATCATTACTTTCAGCAATCCAATCTGACGGAAATGCAGTTGCATTTTCCAAGCCCAATCATCATAGCACTCACCATTGAACTTCTCGACGGTGAAGTTTTTCAGCACCTCCTTGACCAGCGAGCCCTGGTTTGTTTGCGCTCCCCTTGGCGCTGAAACACCAGAATCTTGGCTGCCGCTACGATCTTGGGCTGAAGATTCACCAGCTCTCGTCGAGGTGTTGCCCGCCATAGCTACCTATATCGAGGATCACTTTAACGCAGCTCTGATACCAGCTTGTTGGTGTAAGAGTCCAATCAACTCAAGCTATTTAGACTTTATCAAACCTAAAACCTCTCCTTGGGGTCACCTCCAAGGGTCCTTGGGTGCCTGGTGCAAGACCAGCCCCTATCCTCGGGTCCGAGTTTGTAGAGAGAGGGATCAAGAGGGACTTAGTCAAAACAGCAAGAGTACTTTGAACGTCGCGCAGCATATCGTGCAGACGGTCGATCGGATTAAGCTGAGAATTTCCTATATCGAAGCTCGCTCCAAGAGCTTTAAAATGAACCAAGTTGCCTCGCGAAAAGTTCAGCCATTACGAAGTTGTGGCTCGGACAGCGTTTGCCTAGTGTTGGAGTGCTGGCGTACTATCGCTGACTCGGGTAGCATTCCGCCGTCGCACCACGTAGAAACGAAATTCTAGGAAGGGAGGAATTCGCTTGAATCAAATTGACTATATCCAGGTACAAACAGAGAAGGAATAAATATTTCTAGCTAGCAAGGACCTTGGGAATAAACCTGGGAACAACCAGGGATGATCCCAAAAAAATCCAAGCAACAGAACCAACCAGGTTGGACAAAACAGCAGGTGGTAGGTTGGTAAACAACCTCTGGTTCTGTTTTACCAACCTGGTAAAACAACAACCAGGTTCAGGTCCTAAAAACATAACATGTTTTGTCTTTGCCCAACCAGCCAAATGCTGGTTCCGCTGGTTTCCCCTGGCCCTGTAGCAAGCAGATACAGACAAACAACATCCAACCTTCACCTAAATTGTACCCCTATAGTGCCTGCCCTGCTACACTATAGTCAACCAAACAAAACAGTACAATTCCGAGTTGGATAGAACTGAATCTACACAATTAATTCAACCGAACCGCAAAGCTTCCATCTTGGGTTCCTTTGCGAGCTCGTCCTTTCTACTTGTACTGTTCATAGCGCGTAGAATGTTGTGCCGAAGCGCACAATGCGCGAGTACCTGCAAATGCTTCAAGCAAAAATTGCGAAAGCAAACAAACACACGAACATTCCATTCACACCCAAATGCATTCGCACACGCATACTCGTACAAACAGACGGCAGGATGTCGTGCAATGTGAATTTGCACCCAACACGTTGGACATGGTGTTCTCTGAGACGATGTCGCTGGAGGTGTGGAAGTTGGAGCACGGGCCGGTGTCAGGGCAGACGCCGGTTAATTTTCAACAAACACCTCAATGGCGACACTCCCATTTTCCGCCGAGGTCGGTGAGCTTGCGGAGGAGGACGCTGAAGACATCCGCCCTCTTTGCTCTTCCCCGACACCTCCTGTCCCACCCCTTGTAGCCGACCTGCTTAAGCTGACATCGACATCAGCTAGCAGGGACGAGGGTAGCAGTGGGGCGTTGCCTGTGGCACTGGCCAAGGGCATCGCCGGTGGCCGATGTGACGTCCCGCAGGTCGGCGTGGGAGAGAAGTCAATGCTGACAAGGGAGCAGTAGGTAGAGGAGGTGCAGCCGACTTGGGTGACGTTGACGAAGGAGGCATCGGCAGAGAAGCAGCCGACCAAGGAGCAGTCGGCGTCTTGGCAGTCTACAGGGGCGCCGACGACAAGGGAGAAGTCGGCAGGAATGCCGACCGTTGTGCAGCAGGCCGAAGAGGGCAATGAACCCAGTGTTGATGCAGGGGAGCAGTCGGGGGGTGCATCTAATGACAGCGACTTGTGGAGGTCGACGCCGAAGAGCCTGGGCCGCGACGTTCAGGCCGACTTCAGAGGCCACCTGAGTTTCTGACCTACCAGCCTTCCGCCAGCCGCTTATACCATGCTATATGACAATGACGATGACGGCATGCTGTACGACAACGCCGTGGAAGATGTCGACCTGCCGGAGCTCGACCCCGACATGCACGTTGACCCTAAACACCATTGGGACATCGCAACAATGATGGTGAAGGAGGCGTTGGCAAATTGGAAGGGCAAGGTTGTGAAGGCTGCTATAGACGAAGAGATCCGCAGCCTCATCGGCTTGGGCACCTGAGAGCTTGTGGAACGCCCACGCGGGTTAAACATCATGAAGAACCGGTGGTTCCTGATGACCAAGTACCACGTCGACGACACGGTCGCCCGAAAGAAGGCAATGTTGGTCGTGAAGGGCTTCCCGCATATGTATGGTGCCGACTACGATGAGATGTTCGCACCAGTGAGCAGCTACGTCACGCTGAGGATCTTCCTCAGCATCGTTAGTGTCCTCGATCTCAACCTGATGCAGCTCGACAAGAAGAACGCCTTCCTGCAGAGCAGGCTGGACAGGGTGTTGTACATGTATCAGCCGGACTACTACAACGACGGGACCGGCCAAGTGTGCAAGCTGCTGATGAGTCTGTACGGGCTGAAGTAGTCGCAACTGCTGTGGTACAAGGCGCTCAACGACGTGCTGGTCGGCGGTGGCTAGAAGAAGAGCCAGGTCGATGACGCCCTTTACTTCAAAGTCGGCGACGACGGAGTGGCCCGCTGGGTGCTGGTCTACGTCGACGCCCTGCTCGTTACCAGCAATAGTACAGGGATGCTGAAAGAGTTGAAGGAGCTGCTGGAGGCCGCTTTCGAGCTTCGCGATATCTCGTCGGTTGAGAAGTACCTCGGGCTGGAAACCGTGCGCGACAGGCCGGCAAGGAAGTTGCGGCTGCACCAGCAGAACTACGCCGACAAGCTATGCAGGCAGTTCATCAACGAGGAGCAGACAGGGCGCACCCCGAAGACACTGGTCTCAGTTGACGCCTATGCCGAGCTGACGTTCTACGACGAGGAGGCACAGGCGTGCCACGAGGAGGAGTAGATGCAGATAGTTGACTCTCTGCAATTCGCGGCGACAACAACAAGGCCGGACATTGCCTTCGCCTGCAGCAAGCTGGGGAGCGGCCTCACGGTGAGGAGCGACCAGCACTGGCGCGAGGTTGACCACTGCCTCACCTACCTTGCCAAGACTCGTGACACCGTCGTGGAGTTCGGCGATGGACCAGAGTCGCTGAAGCTGGTCAGCTACGTGGACGCCGACGACACCGGCTACAAGCAGAACCGGACGAGCACAGGCGGCTACGGGTTCGGCTTCGGAGGGGCCGTAGTCTCCTAGTCGAGTCAGTGCATCAAGTGCTCAACACTTCCGTCGACCGAGTCAGAGTACACGGAAGCCATTGAGGCCGGCAAGGAGGGACGTTGACTTTGCTTCCTTCTTGCACAATTCTGGCTGCTTGACGCTGGGATGCCGACCGTCCTTCGGGTGGACAACAAGTCGGCTTTCACGGTGGCCGAGGGCTTGGGGCTGCAAGGCAATCTTAAGTACATGAACGATGCTATGCCTGGCTGCAGCACATGGTGAAGTGCAGGAAGTCCGCTCAAGTACATCCCGGCCACCAAGCAGGCGACCGACTTCCTGAAGAAGGCACTGCACTTTCCGGCCTTCAACCGGTGCTCCATCGCAATCGGCCAAGTGCCCCTGGCCCATGCCGGCATCGGTGACGACGTGCTGTGTGGTGAGTGCATGCCGACGAGCTATTCTCCGAGCAGTACTGATGTGTAGGGTGGAGGTCCAAACATGAACACGGCAGAGGAGTGTCAACGAGAGTTATGTGTTGGTCCCCTCCTCGCTTGGTCGGAGTCGACTTCGTTGTCGGGTGTGCGGGGAGCACAGCCGACCAGCTGCAGTCGGCGACGGCGAGTTAGGCGCGCAGGTCGACGGACCTGGTGGACCTGCAGGGGACCACTTCAACGCCGTCGACTTTGGGACCCCGGCAGCCGAGTTCGACTCGGGTCGACGAGGAGAAGGGCGCCGACGTTGACCTGGAGGTGGAGCCAACTTTTGGAGGGCGACGAGTACGGGTGGTCGATATGGTGAGGTCGTCCTGGCAGGACGTTGACTTTGGGGCGTCAACCTGAGGGGCGCCGATTTTGTGGCGCCGACCTGGGGAAGTCGGCATGGTGAAGTCGGCTGGTGGTCGTTGACCTAGGTGGTCAACGGGCACGTACAGCAACTGGTCCACGCCGGCCACACAAGTCGGCGCCGACTTGGTGGTTGCCTGGTTGACCAAGTTACCCGGGCGACGGGGCTGCGGAGGTGCGCGACAGTCGCCCAGGTGGCTCAGGCGACAACCTCGGTGGTGGTATCCCGAGGTCGACGTGGCCGTCAGATGCAGTCACCAGCGTGGACGACTTGACGCATGCGCTGTGCAGGTGACGGGGCTTAGCACGCCAACCAGCTGCGAGCACATGCGAAGCGGGTGCGCTGCTGTCATGCAGGTGCAACGCTGTGCAGCTGCCTTGCTGCAGCGTTGGCAAGCTATCGACTTGTAGTGTTGGCATACCGCTCCTCTGCACTGCTGGGGCGCAGCCGGCCTTGTCGTGCTGGACCGCGGTCGACCATACAAGGCTGGTAGTAGACCTGCATGCTTGCTAGCATCTGATGTAGTCATTGTTTCTTTGCATTGTATACCATTGTTGTGCACTTTTGCTAGTGAAACTCTTGCCAATTTCCCCAAGAATACTCAAGTAGAAAAGGCACAAGTAAACGACTAAAGAAAGAACGCTACAATCACTCCTACCCCGTGCCTACCCCGTAGACTACCTCTAGGTGTACGAGTTATCTCCGCAGGAGAAGCACTTGGCAAGAAGAGGGGAAACAGTGAGGGGTGGGGGAGATGTTGGGAGGGAGGGGATTAGGGGGGTTGAGGGGAAAAATTGGGCACGGATGGTGGTAAGAGGGCTGCAGGGAGGGGGAGAGGAGAGGGTAGCGAGGGGAAAGCCATGAGCGGAGATGGATCAAGAAAAAGGCTGGGTGTGGAGAAAAGAGGGGCGGAGAAAGCAAACAACAAGTAGGGAGGGGAGAGACCGGCATGGAGGGTGGGGAGGAGGGGTGCGGAGAAAAGCAGCGAGGGGCAAAAAGGGGAGATATCAAGGGTACACGATGCAAGAAACTAGGGGCAGGGAGCGGACACAGGAGAGGCAGGGAGTGGAGAATGTTAGCGTGGGGATGAAATGAGCACAGGGAAAAGAGGGGAGAAATCAAAAGCGGAGAGGGCGGGGGTGGGGAGGGATGGGAGGTGGGCGGTGGGAAATGGGCAAGGGGGCCAAAGGGGGTCAAAAGAGGCAGCAGGGGAGTGGGGAAAAAGGAGCATATGGGCGGGGGAAGGGTGAAAAATGGGCATATCCGCGGGGGGAGGGGGAAAAATGGGGCATAGTGGCGGGGGGAGCAAATGGCAGGTTGGGGGCAGGGGGTGTGACTAGGAAGGGGGGACTCGTAGACATGATGTATAGGGGTCCGAGCACAACAATAATGTGGTATGATCATAACTTGGATACTACGCCAGATCCCATCAGAACTTTGAAGCTAAGCGCCAGTGGGCGAGAAAAGTACTTGGCAAGATAACCTCCTGGGAAGTCTATAGGCAAGAATAATACTGGGCAGGATAACCTCCTGGGAAGTCCTTGTGTTGCATTCTCACCGGCACCTGCCGAGGAGAGGGCAGCGGGAAAAAGCATGGACGATTTTAGCACGTTGGTCCTCTTTTTTGTTTTCATTTTTTTGCCCGAACAATGACTCAGTGGGATGTGGGCGCACCAAGGGGGCTTGCACACTGAAAGAACCACCGCGTGCGCACGGCCATTGCTCGGTCGAAGGCCGCACACGGTCGCGGGCGTGGAGAAGGGAAACGGGCAGCAGGGGAAGGGTGTGAGCAGGTGGAAGGGGGGCCAGGGGAGTTCCCAGGGCAAGGAGAGGAGCAGCAAAGGCCAGGGGCTGGCCCAGTGGAGGCCAAGACAAAGAGGTGGGCAGAGGGTGAAGAGAGTGGGGAGGGATGGAACGGAGGCAGCGAAGGGGGAGAAACCAGAGACGTGGAGGGGGGAGACGAGAGGTGTGCAATGGGAAACAGCGAGGGGGAGGAGCAGGATGGAACAGAAGCAGGGAGGGGCAGAACGGGAAGGAGGTGTGAGCAGGCGGTGCACAGTGTATGGGCAGGGGAAGTACTTGGCAGGAAGAGGGAAAACACTGGGGGGTGGGGGAGAGGGTGGGAGGGAGGGGATTTGGGGGATTGAGGGGGGAAAATTAGGCGCAGATGGTGGTAAGAGGGTTGCAGGGAGGGGAAGAGGAGAGGGTAGCGAGGGGAAAGCCATGAGCGGAGAGGGACAAGTAAAAGGCAGGGCTCGGAGAAAGGAGGGGCAGGGATGGAAGAAAGGAGAGGCACGGTGAAAGAAAACGACGGGCAAGGAGGGGAGAGACCGGCATGGAGGGCGGGGAGGAGGGTGCGGAGAAAAGCGGCGAGGGGAAAAGATGGGAGAAATTTAGGGTAGAGGGTGGGAGAAACCAGGGGTAGGGAGTGGACACAGGAGAGGTAGGGAGTGGAGAATGTTCGCACAGGGATGATAGGAGCAAGGGGCAAAGTGAGAAGAAATCAAACGTGGGGAGGGCGGGGGTGGATAGGGATGGGAGGTGGGCGGTGGGAGGGGGAAAAATGGGGCATAGGGGCGGGGGGAGGGGGAAAAGTGTGGCATAGGGCCGAGGGGAGCGGATGCCAGAGAGGGGGCAGGGGTTGTGACTATGAAGGGGGGACTCGTGGACGGGATGTGTAAGCGCTCGAGCACAATGTTAATGTTGTACGATCATACCTTGGCTACTACGCCGGATCCCATCATAACTTCGAAGCTAAGTGCTAGTGGGTGAGAATAGTACTGGGCAAGGTGACCTTCCGGGAAGTCTCGTGTTGTACCCATTTATGCCTTCTCATTGGAACTGTCGGGGAGGGGGCAGCAAGAAAAAGAAATGACGATTTTAGAGCGTCGGACCTTATTGTTTTCCTCTTTTCGCCCGAACGGCGACTCAATGGGATGTGGGCACACCGAGGGGGCTTGCACGCGCAAACAATCATCACGTGCGCACGGCCGTTGCTCGGTCGAAGGCCGCATAGGTCGCGGGCGTGGAGAGGGGACACAGGCAGCAGGGGGAGGGTGCGAGTAGGTGGAAGGGGGATACGGTGTAGCAGGGCCAGGGGATTTCCGAGGGCAAGGGGAAGAGCAGCAGAGGACATGGGCTGGCCCAGTGGAGGGCGAATCAAAGGGGTGGGCGAAGGGTGAAGAGAGGGGGGAGGGATGGAATAGAGGTAGCGAGGGAGAGAAACCAGAGGCGTGGAGGGGGGATACGAGGGGTGTGCGGTTGGAAACAATGAAGGGGGGGAGCGGGTTAAATGACTTCTACATAAACTCCGTCCTTTATCACTAAAAATTTGCAGCACCACCTCCGTAACCGCCACGGCCTCCACGGCCTCTTCCTCTCCCTCCACCTCCTCCTCTTCCTTCTTGGCCTTAAGAAGGTTTTCATCCAGATAGAAGTTTGTAGCAATCGCACCACATGTGTCCACTCTCGTGGCAATAATGGCACTCGCCATCAAATGGTCCGCGACCGCGCCCGTAGTTCTTGTTCTTATTGCCGTAGCTGCCACTTCCACGGCCTCCGTTGAAGTTACTGCTACCAAACTTGCCTCCTCTTCATCTGCCCCTTCCTCGGCCATAACCACAGCCGATGCTTGCTGCCCCCGCGCCATCCGAACCCGCCAACTCACGGCGGCGGAAATCCTCTTGAAGTATCGCTCGCTTCGCGTTTCTGAGTGAAAGGCGGGGCAGATTACGATTCAAGTTGATGATGAGCGATGACCATGGTCCGCAGAGAAGGGACAGCAACTTGGTCTTCTTTTGGAGCTCACTATGATCCAAATCAGCTCCCTCAAGCCGCGTCAACAAGTCGAAAAAATTTTGCACCCCTTCCTTCTTCAACCGCTTCATCTTCTCTAATAAGTAGTGCCGCCATTTGCTGCTTCAGCACCACTGCCACCGCCTCGAAAAATTTTTGCACCCCTTCCTTCTTCAACCGCTTCATCTTCTCTAATAAGTAGTGCCGCCATTTGCTGCTCCAGCACCACTGTCACCGCCGCTGTTGCAAGAGCATGTACACCCTTGAGAGCAGCCCATGCCTTTGGTCCCTTCTCTGGTTTACGCTGGAATGGTTTGATGTGATAGATTTGGCTGCTCCCCAATGCTTGCCCAAGTACGAGATAGCCTTGTGCACTCTTCTGCAGCCACAGGCTCTTCTCCGGCTTGTTCTTGGGACGCTTCTGCGTTCTTTCCATCACCTCTAGCAGGTCATAGTGGTCAAATATGTTCTCCATCTTGAAGATCCACTCAGCAAACTTGTCACCGTTGAACTTGTCAAGGCCAAACAATCTAGGTTCATCCCTGGAAGAGCCAAGACTTGGTTGCACGGGAGCCATGGGCGAATCACGGGGCTGACCTTGAGCTTGGGCTTCTCCACTGCCACCAGCACCTCTGCCATCCCTTTTCTCAAGACCGGCCATTGTCGAAACTGCTCCGAGGGGCTCTGATAGAACATGTTATAGTCACAATAGGCTCAAATTTCCCTAAAATGAAAGATAGAGTGCTCAGGCGGATTTTCGCATACGGCTTCAAATGTTAATAGCGTTCTGGTCACAGCGATGACATGCTATAAATTGGATCTTGAGCATCGCAATTGGAATCACACGATTTTATCAGGTATTGACGACGCAACACTGGTTTGAACGAACGGCACTACGACAACAATTATAGTCTTAAAACACAGATTAGGAAGCGTTACGAGTAGGGAATGACTCCCGGCCTCTACAAACCCCAAGAGCTGAGGTACAGTGATGTGGAACAGTGTTACACTGTCCCTAACCATGAAAGGTCTCGAAACTACCATCCACAAGGGTCTGCACCAAGAGAAGTGTTACACTACACATTGTAATGTAACTAATCTCATTATCTTGAAGTTTACCCTTTTTGCAAGCTTCTAACTCACTTGAGTCTTGAAACCAAAGCTCTGGTTCTTCACCATAAACCCATTCTCGAGTTCTTGAAAGTCTGTTGCACGCCCCTTCGACATGCCGAAAGGAGACGGGAAGGGCGTGGCGCTCACCGTTGCGTGTTCGGCTGCAAAGTTGCTGGCCGACGACAAGGACTTGTGGTTCCTTGACTCGGGATGCTCCCAGCACATGACCGACCGCAAGAAGTGGTTCACGGTGATTCGTGACCCAACGAAATCCGTCAAAGAGTTTGATGGGTCTATGTAGGAAGTTGCCGGTGTTGGCGAGGTTTTTTCTGAAGGAGACCAACGGCTTGCGTATGACCCTGCATTATGTTCTCTTTGTGCCAGGAATGAAGGCCAACTTGGTCTCTCCTGGGCAGCTCACGAACAAAGGAGCAAATATGCAAACCGAAGAAGGTGTCACCCGCGTCATCGCATCGGGAGGACAAGCGGCTGCAACGGCACGCTACCGCCATCGTCTTCTCTGCCTTGACCTGAAACCGTGGCCAGCAAGCAACGGCACAATGGCAGCAGTGGCATGCAACGGCACTGTGGCTACATCGGCTTGCGACAGCACGACGGCTGGAGCGGCATGCAACGGCACGGTGGCTGCAGCGGCTTGCAACGGCACGGTGGCTGTAGTGACATGCAATGGCATGACTAAGGCACATGGAGCGTCGCTACGCTTGGCTGGAGCACATGGTGAGGCGTGGGAAGTTCGTGCTGAAGTGCATCCCGACCACCGAGCAGCTGGCGGACTTCCTGGCGAAGGAGCTGCATTTTCCGGCTTTCAACCGGTGCTCTGTCGCCATCGGCCAAGTTCATCTGGCCGACGTCGGCGACAGCGACAACGAGGTGCAGCAGTAGGTGCCGTGCCCATCTGCACGGCTGGTGCGGTGACGGCGTGCTGTGTGTGGGGTGCACACCGAGGATGAGTTTTCTCCGTGGAGTACTGCTGTGTGGGCTGGAGGCCCAAGTGTGAGCGCGGCAGGAGAGTGTTAACAGGAATGGAGTGCTGGCCTCGCCCTCGCTTGGGCAATACCGATGACTTGGTCAGATGTACGGGAGTAGCAGCCAACCGTTCTTAGTGGGAGAGCTGCTCGATAGGCTTCGTCGAGCTACAGCGGACCGTTGTGATGTTGCTGTCGACCAGGGAGCTCGACACCTGCAACTGACTGGTCTGGGCAACGGGTGGGACGTCGACCAGGAGGGGCAGTTCGACTAGGAGATCGACGGAGCAGCACGTCAACCAGCAGCTTGACCGAGAGGTCGACGGAGTAGTCCGACGACCTGACAAGTGAGCAGCAGTCGATGAGGGGAGTTTGGCAACAACCGCTGACAGTTCTGGTTGACAGAAGGGGTCCGTCGAGCAGGGGGTAGCTCGACAGGAGTTGTGGTCGACCAGAGGGACCCGGTGGTTGACCGGAGGCACCTAGGGGTCGACCAGAGCACCTCGGGGTTGACCAGGTCGAGTGGGTAACCTGCTCGACGAGTTCTGCGGAGGGACGCGAATGTCGTCGAGGTCGCAATGGCACAGGCGACTTCGGGCTGGTACCCCAAAGTCGATGTGGCTTGTCATGCGCAGACAACAGTCGACGGATGCCCAACGAGGCAGGTTGGGCCAATCGTCTGCGCGCACCTGCGAGCGTGCAGACTGCTGTCCGCTACGGGGCAACGCTTGACAGCCGCTCTGCTGCAGCGTTGGCACGCCGTCGACCTGCTCTGTTGGCAGACCGCCTTTCCGCAGTGCTGGTGCAGCTCCTCTACGCAACGCTGGCAGGCGGTCGACCAAGCTGTGCTGGCAGTCGACCAGGCTAGCTGCAGGGTTGCTAGATGCCTGATGTGGTCATTGTTGTCATTGCTTGTTCAATCATTCTGTAATTTCGACTTTGCTAGTGGAAAATCTTGCCAATTTCTCATGTGATTGTGAAAGCATCAAGGAACTAGGCAAAGCTACGATTACTCCTATTAGTTCATGCCAACCCCCGTGGTCTAGCTCACTACCGTTGTAGAGTAAATCTCCGCATGGTGCGGTGAGCGTGGATCGAACACGCGACCTTTAGATAGGAGCCGACCTTTGCACCTACTAAGTCGTTTGTAGGCCAGCAACAGCAATTGTCACCATGGTCGACCCCGTAGCTGATGCGGGAGTAGCGGACACCTTGGAGGCACGCTTGGCTGATGCGAGGAAATGCCACGCGGATGGCGAGTACGGGACGATCCCTTGGGCGATCGTCAAGTTGGGCATGCGGTCGCAGTGGGCGACGGAACACCCTTTCCGTCCTGCATCTCCTCGACCGGCGCGCATCGATGGTGGCGTCGATGACGAGGTCGACGGTGATGCAGGAGTCAGCGGCAGTGAAAGCATGGGGCAGAGACGGGTGATCAAGGTCGACAATGGTGTCGACGGGATTCAGGCGTGAGTGCAGCGGTCGACGGCGGCTGTAGGCAGCTTGCGTGCCGACCTTGATGGTCGACGTCGCTCTCCTCTATGAAGCGGTGGAGGGGTCTCGGCGACGACGCACGTGACGGCGGGCGGGATTGCACCGGTGTATGGCTACTTCAAATTCTCGTCGGACCGGATCACCGTCGCATCGCTGCAAGGTCAACGGGACCTCATCACCTGGAGGGAGTCTATCGAACCTCAGCTGTAGGTCGCCGGGCTGAAGGGCTTCGCCGATGGCACCGTGCCAATTCCGCCCGTGGACAATGTCGAGCTGCGTGGGGAGTTTCGTGCGGCTCACTTGGTCACCTTCATGGCCATCTCGAGGTGCTGCTCGCCGGTGGTGCAGCTGGCGCT